ATGTGTGGCAAACAGCAACATTTACCCTCCAGCACTGAAAACTCTGATGATGGAAAATCAGGTGCCCTGCTGCATTCTTTCATCTCACTCTGGACTCACAGGAAAGCATATGGTATTTTTTCCCTGCTGCCACTGGTGTGAGCCGTGAACCAGGGTGGAAAAAGTACCCCGCCTTCTTTTGTGTTTGTGTAACATCCTTCCTTTGCAGATGGGGCTCTGCAGAAATCAGCCATGCATTGTGAATTGCCTGTGGTGTCCTGTGCTGAGAAAAGAGACACACCGTGCATCTACTGAAACTGCTGCATCCCTAAAAGTAAGTCAGGACAGCAGATGCACAAGAGAGAAAAAGCTGGGCTTTTACAGGTTTGCAGTGGAGAGGATTACCCTGCCTCTCAGCTGCCATGCCCACTGTGCGGGGTCATTCACACCAGTGAAACACGTCACCCCTGCTCTCACTTGGTGTGCAGAATACTCACAACAGCAAACGTTCAGTATTTTTAAAATAGTGTTTTATTTAATGCCTTAGGCTGATATCCAGATTTGGCATTGGCAGCTGCTTGGCAATAATCAGCACTTCACAGTGTCCTTGAGAGGCAGAGGTGCCTTTGATGGGGGATACTCAGCAGTACAGCCCTGCCCTGCTTAGCCCCTCTCTGTTCAACAGACAAAGGCAAGGAGCCAGGGGTGGGAGGGTCACTCTGTTCTGGTCATTCTTAGCTGGGTGCCTGAACACCACTTCCCATGTGCCAAATCTTCCTTTTGGATAAAAAAGAAATATGTGCTTTTTTCAGGTAAGTGGTATTTCTAGAATGGACAAAATAAGGCATAGGAAAATATTACCACTTCCTATGGAAAGAACATTTCAACTTTTTGTTTTGTTTGGCAAAATTAGAATTATTCTTCTTATAAAATTTTCATAGGATTGTTTTTGTTTTTTTTAATACATCAGGACTGTTTCCACTACCCCTACAAATCGGGTGACGTTTGCTGTGGCTTAAGGGGCTTCCCCGAACCTGTGAGCCTTGTGGAACTGACAGCATCCTATTTTCTGAGGTTAGAGAAATGTGGGAGAAGAGAAATATGCAATTTATGAGTTAGGGTGCTGGGGAGCTGCTTGCTTTGGAGCCACAGATGTACATTGCAGTTTGACGAAGACCTAAGGCAACTCATCTAAGAGAACTATGGCCTCTCATGCTTCTCTACAGTGGCAGCAAAGTAAAAAATACAGCAAAGCCAAATACAGCAGCAGAGGAAATGTCTGATGTCCCTCCTTTCCACATTTTTACAAAAGTGGGCCACAAATGGGAACATGGTTAATGCAACCTGCCTCTAAATTTAGCCCGCAGATCACCTGTACTCAGGAGCACTGGCAGCACAGAGGATGCTGAGGTGACTGACCCAGTGGCTCCTGAGTAAGCTGTGAGGGATGTCCAACAAAAAACAGGTTTCAGGCATGGGAAGTGTTAAAATCCAGAAGGATGTGGCCTGAAAATCCATGAGAGCTCACTCTGCCTGAGCCTCTGCTCAACCCACTGCAGAAGTGCAGGATGATTTCTCTGAAATCTTCCTTGTTTTCAACACATGCTCTATGCATGCAGAGGGTTTATCTGTATTGTGAGCAATCTGAAACGTCTGTCAAAGCATACAACAATATTTATTGGACCAGATCATGGAAAAATACAATGTGTTATCTCTCTTCAAAGTATTACTTTTACTTACTTCCAGACATGCCCCTTACGATTTCCTACTCAGACATGGGCATCTGGCTTTTTGAAGGAAATAGGTGGGTTTGGGATTTTTTGGGGTGGTAGGGACTTTCTCTCTAAATATTTAATAGTCCAGACTTCCCACCTGTCAGAGCAGATTACAAATAAAAAACACCCAAAAAGAGCTAGAAAAGCCCTGCAAAAGCACGTATTCCCAGCCCAGTGTCTCTTGCTGGTGCTTAGGCTGAGCGAGGCAAACACACACTCCCACAGCCCCAGGTGGGAGCTGCACAGGCATCTCTGAGGTGACAAAGCCAGTGCCAGTGCCCAGCTGAGAAGGAGGAACCTCCTCCTCACGGCTCACACCTGTGAAAGAGTAGCAACACATTAACATCTTCATCCCCCTTTCTCCTGGAGGCTTTGGCTGGATTAATTAGACAGAGACAAGTTTCTCTCTTTGGTGCTCGACAGGGTGGGGTCTCTGTGCTCTCTCCAAGCCTTCCCCATATGCATGTGCAGGGCAGATGGAGCAGACTGGAGGTGCTTACTGGCTCCCCTCACTTCGAGTTCGCCTGTACACCCCTCTGCCCCATTTGGCAGATCCCCAGGGCTCCCAGTAAGTGCACTCTGCATCTCCTCTGCAGGGCCAGACAAGCTCCAAGGAGCTGAAGGGTGAACCAAAACCTTTTAATTGCATCATCAAAGGAAAAAGCCCCATCCACTGCATGACCTTGCTGAAAGAATTCTGTCATTCTTACGTAAGTAATGCAACAATTGACTTCTTTATTTAATTTCACTTATTTTAACTGTCAAGAGCTGGCAGCTCTTGAAAGAAAGGATTAAGTGGGAGAAGTGAAAGAGTACTATCTGCTTGCTCTGTACACTGTCGTAGTCTGAGTGCTTTCATTCTGTTTGCACAGTTTCTGGTACAACATGGTCCTGACCCAACTAATCAGATGAATAAACTGATGGTAAGGAGCTGTTTGCTAGTCTGAATATACTTTCTTTTTGGTTGCTAATATAAAAAATGGTAAGTGGTGCTCACTGTTATCTCGATTACTTCTTTCATCAGTAACCCCTTTTTTTTAGAGTTGGTAATTCAGCCATTAAAAAATAGCCTCTGGATGGGAAGTTAGCAGTCAGGATTAATAACTATTAGCATCTTAAAGAGCTGCAGGGCCTGTTTGCAAATTTGGACTGACACTATTTCCAAAAATATGTGGGTTTGAATTAAAATGTGCAAAAATATTTTTTTTTTTTAAATAAAAGCTCTGTGGTTTGAGACGTGGTTTACGTCAATGTCATAGCAGCTTTACTTAGAAAAATACTAGATGTGATTTAATCTCTAAAATGTTTTAATGGCTTCAGAGATTTCAGAAGAAATACTGGAAATTATTTAGATGGAAATATCACTGAGCCTATTAGCTTTTTATAGAATGAGAAAACCCTAGCATTTTTGCCTAGCATTACTTCATTGTGGTCCATAGGGGGAAAAAAAAAAAAAAAACAACAAACCAGAGATTTTCAAATTTCCTTAATATCCTCCTTCATCTATTCTGGAATCAATATTCATTGAGAGAAACTTTGGTGGTCTCCATTCACGAACTTCAGGTATCATGTAAAAAAAAAAAAATCAGGAATATGCAGGGCTTTGGGAGAATTAACCAGGGAAAGGCAGAAGAAAAGCAGAGAAATTACACAGAAAGAAGGACATTAAAAGGGATCAGAAGATGCTAGTATTTGATAGCACACTGCATGTAAAACTAGAAAAAGGAAGGAGTGTTGCATCAAAGCTGTGCCCTTTTGCTCTGTGAAGTAACTCATAATAATCACCTTGCAGGGTCCTATATTCACAGCTGGAAAAGAAAGTCAGGCATTGTTTTCTGTACACTCCTGACTTAGCTGAGTCTCCTGCATCTTGCTTACTCCTGGCCTGTGGATTCTGATTTCTATTTGGGAGCGACTGTCCTGTGAAGCCCTTCCTGGCATCATCACAAAGCTTCTGAATAATTTGCTCCTGGAGACACTGGAGCCCTGGGGCAATGGAGATAGCTCTTGAGATAAGAGTGGGAGGAGTGAAAGAAAACACCCATCAATCCGTTCCGAATATTCAAACCCTTAAGCGAAAAAAATTCAAGGCACACAAAAACCGGGACTACTGTATCCTTTCGTAGCTGAAAAGGCTTTAGAGATGGCCTGTTTTGACCAGTAAAAATCAAGGCACGAGTCTAAAAACTTTGTTTCTAAGCTGAGGTTCACAAAACAATGCAGAGGGAGCTGATGCCCATTATGCTCTTTGAAAGCCCTGCCGAGGACCCCATCCAACCCAGTGCAGCCGGAGGGCACATTTTGCCGAGGCTCCAACATGAGGAGAGCCTCCACTGGGGAATCCCAATCCCACAGCACTGGACTGTGTACTAGCCTGGGACAGGTATCGGATCTGACCCCATGTATTAGATCTGCTGGGGTCAACACTCCTTTTCTGAACCAGTCCCTCCAACCTGCACACATGGCGTACCCCACTTGGGTTAGCCGCCGGCAGATCTTCCCAAGGATGCTGAATTTCCAGGCGCAGCCCCGACGGTAACCTACTCTCCCTGACGAGGAGCTCCCGCACCCCGGCGAGCTGCCGAGCCAGGCTCTCAAGCGGGGGCAAAAAAACTCCCGTCTGCTGCCGCTGCCACCGGCCCTCACCCCCACCGCCGGGGCTCCCCCGCCACGCCGTCCACCCAGCGAGGCCGCCCCGAGGCTCCCGGTGCCGCGGCGGGGCAGGAGGGCCGGGTGAAGGTGCAGGAGGGCAGGCGGGCCGGGTGGGGATGCAGGCGGGCCGTGTGAAGGTGCAGGGGGGCAGGAGGGCCGTGTGGGGATGCAGAGGTGCAGGAGGGCCGTGTGAAGGTGCAGGGGGGCAGGAGGGCTGTGTGAAGGTGCAGGGGGGCAGGAGGGCTGTGTGGGGGTGCAGGCGGGCCGTGTAGGGGTGCAGGAGGGCCGTGTGAGGGTGCAGGGGGGCAGGGGGGCCGTGTGAGGGTGCAGGGGGGCAGGCGGGCCGTATGAAGGTGCAGGGGGGCAGGAGGGCCGTGTGGGGGTGCAGGGGGGGCCGTGTGCGGGTGCAGGCGGGCAGCAGCCCGACCCGGAGCCGGAGGGTGGCCGGAGGCGCCGCTCTGGTTTTGGGCAGCGCGCAGCCGCAGTGCGGCCGCCGCCGGGTACAAAGCGGGGCCGGAGCGCTCCGCGGACTCGCAGCGCGGCGGGAGGGAGGGAGGCGGGGACAGAGGCAGGAGCTGAAGTTTTGCGGGGTCACCGGAGCACACCCCAGCCTCCTCGCCGGGACGCGGAGCCCGGAGGTGAGCGGCGGGGGATGCGATTGGGATGGGCTGGACGCGGGCGCTCGGGCGAGGGGCAAGCTGCTAGCGTAGCGGCGGCGAAGCTGCTGCTGCTGCCGCTCTCGTCGAGAGGAGCAGCGCAGCTCTCCCCGGCCCCGGGGGAGCGCCTGGGTCTGTCGGGAGCGGGGAGCGGACGGTCAGCCACGGCGCTGCCCCCCAAGTAGGAAGACGGCGGTCCCGGCGGACCGGTCTGTGAGCGTGTCGCGAAGAGTTGTTGATCTCCCTCCCCGTTTTGATTAAAAATGCTGGATTATACCAAACGAGGCGCGGACGCGCGTATTCCGTGCATCGCCGCATCCCGCCCGCTCTCGAAGCCGCGACCCTGCCCGGCTCCCCCGGCCCCGAGGGAGGCGCTGCCAGGTGCAGTGGGAAGTACCTGGGCAGGGGAGAAGAGGGGTGCAATGGGTCACGCGTGAGAGCGGTGTTCACCGGTGCTTTGTTTAAATGGACCGTCACTAACTTGTGAGCCGGCACTTCAAAAGAGTAGAGATTTTTTTGGGGGGTAGGGGGATGGGAAAAGGGGAAGGTCTTGGGCTTTGATGCTCAGTACATGAAAGTGCCTTAACTTTGGCTGCTCTTCACGAATCTCACGAATGCTCTTCACGAAAAAAGAAAAAACCCAACTCACAAACTCTTATAGACATCCTGAAGTGTTTGAAAACAGTCTTACTTTTTCTGAAATAACGCTGTGGGACCCAATAGCTTGGTACACATTTACGTGTAAAAACTGATCCAGATGTAATTACAAGCCTCAGTAATGATAGTGGCTTTCTTTTGACTGCTTTGTTCCCGAGTTACACATAAGACCAAGCTGAGTTTAACTTTTTTTTGTACCGATGTTGAGGTCAGGTGTAATGTGCTTTTGTTAAATCAAAGCTCTCAAACATTTAAGTAGCAGCTGAGCCCGTCTGACATACCAGTAGCATAGTCGACTGCCTTGTATCTTGGCAAGCCATGAAAGATACCATGACAATTTGCTGATTAAATATATCGGTTGTATCTTACTCTTTTATTTCACCCCTTCTGTCAGAGTGACTAGGTCTTATTAAACGTTGTGTGGGTGTCTGTTGAGAAAGAAGGACAATATCAGAAAAGTGAGAGGAGGCTGATCGGGGTTAATGTGTGAATTTTAGAAAGGCCAAACTAATTCAAAAAGTGTTCATGATGTGCAGGGAAAGCCCTGACATTTTTGTTCAGGTGGTGTGTCAAGTCCTTAGAAGTGCTGCTTCGGTCTTCAAGTCCAGAGTCTGCTTTCCAAAGGGAGTGGGTGCCAGTAGGGCAAAGTGGTACTGCCAGACAGGAGTAGGGCTGAGTCCAATCCGTGCTGCAAGCAGTACTTTTGAAGTCTTGTTTCTCTTCTGCCTGGGAACATTTGCCATATATTAGTGATTAGATGAAATAGGATTCCACCCCGAAACTTCTTCTTCAAGAGGAGATGAAATATTGTCATATGACAGGACAGCCTGTGTCCTCCTCTCTTGGGTCTGAGTGAGAGAGGTTGCAGCTCTGGTGTGGGGCAGTGGGGTGGGAAACTTGTTGCGTTCCACACAGGGGAATGGGGGGGTCACACCAGTGCCAGGGGCAGTGGCACAACTCCATGTTGTGGCAGAGTATGGGCTTAAGGATAGGTGGATACAGGCTCTTGCGTGCCTCAAAATCTGTAGCTTTGCTGTCCATGTGTTTAATGGAATTTGGTGTTACATTTGACTCTGTTTCATTTGTCTGACATCACAGTGTGGTTTGTCCCTTTGTGTTGCTAGCAATCTAACTAGAAGGAAATTCATATTGTGAAGTGTATTTTGGTGACAACTTCTGTAGCACTCCAGCCCATACAGGAGTCCCTAGTGTCTTAATCTTTAAATTTGTGCACACCTGCTTTCTTTTAAGATTGGGCTTTACTTCAAAATTGCACTGGAGAAAGCCTTGATTAAAAACTGAATGTGAACTGGTTTTAGGTGTCTTTATAAATCCCACCTCCTTGGGAGAACCTGCTATGGAGATATTTCTTGTAGCACAAATGACTTCACTTTGAGATGAGTTGATCCAGTAGCTCCCCCTCAGTATCTGTTTGCCTTCTCTCACTCTAGCAGTTTTCTTAGGTGTGTAAGCTTCTGGTACAGCTTGTCTCAATTTCTGCAGTGCACTGCATGTCTAAATAATAGATGGTGAAAGTGAAATGAAAACGTCCAAATGAAGAGTCAGTTTTGCAAATGATGCAGAGCTCCTGAAGAGCTGTCGGGAATGGGCATCTGATCATGCTTTTAGTTGCTAAAACATTAGTTGTTAACTGAGGAGAGTTGCAGATTTTCTTGTGGTGTCAGCACCTGTTGAAGTGGTAGGTCATGGAGATGAAGGGCTTTTTCCCTAGTCATTTAGCTAATGGAATTGTCTAATGGGCCAAAGGAGATGTTTCAGGCATCACTGCCTGAAACTGTTTATCCATCCAAAAATTCTCATCTGCGCTTTAGAAAGGGAAGAAACATAATACTTGGAAAGTGGCTTAAAAGCTTGTGTGTATGTGCACAAGTATGAATTCTATCTAAAATTTTTGTGGGTTGTGTCAAGATGATGTGTTAAGCTGATGATTAGGTCTTCATGTTGTGATGATGAGGAGTTCATGTGGAATTGCAACAAGAAGTAGCAACGAACTACTTCCAAAAAATTATGATTCCACCTAAGTTCTTAAAGATGCAGTAAATGTAGTTTACAGATGACTTGAAATGCCAGCTGTAACTTTTTATGGAATTTATTTGAGAAGTCTTTTGTTTAAATATAAAAATATCTAAAAATAACGTATGTTTATTAACCTTTCGTATATTTCACAAGCCTTTATGAAATAACAATATTTATGAATATTATTTAATAAGTTCATCTTGACTAGAGATTGAGATTTATGGTGATGTTTATAATGTGTTTGAGTCTAGTGGGAAATGATTCATTTTAAGTATCTTAATAGTATCTGCTTGCATGGTTGAATAATTGGCAGTGCTGTAAAAAGGCATTTAGGCATCTCAAGGGAAACTACTTAGGGTTGTCAATTCTGACACTCCACAGTTGTCTCTTGCTCCCATTATAGAGGCTATATATTGAGGGGAAATAACATGTAAATTATATGACTGTTCCCAGCTATCAAAAGACTGGTACCTGAAGAGAAATAAATACATATCAGGAATTAACAATTGGCATAATTGATATTTTTTTCAGTTTATATGTTTTCCTGGCAGTGTTGTATTGTGAATTATACTTGTAAGGTCTATCTAGTGTGTTCTCTAATTCTGAATTCTGCCCACATATTTTACTTTGGGAAACTATATCTGCAGTCATGACAGTAGTGTTGAGACTTGTGGTTAAATCTGAATAGTGATTCAGGCCATGTTTATATTTGTACTTTGCCAAAGGTTCCCTGGCAAACTCCAGAAAGCAGAAAGATGTATGTGGTGATAGTCACTTTTTCACCATTAATGGTGTAGTTGTCCATGATGAAGAAGAAAGGAAATAGCTTGTAATGTGCTGTAGTGAACATGGGAAATGCTTTCTGAGCTTTGATAGTAATGAAAAAAAATCTGTCATTCAGGAGGGGTGGCAAGAGCATCTGATCTGTCTTTTAGGCTGCTGCAGACTCTGGGCTCTTAACCCTGTATTAAGCCCAATGACTAGTCTGGCTAAAGCATAACTTAGGAGGTCCTGTTGGACTTAAAGCACTCCCACAGGTTTCCCTTGTCACTTAGTGCCAATTTTTGTGTTTTTCTGAGCTCAAAAATGTGTTTCTGATTTCTAATTAGAGCTGTACTGAGGAAGGATAGCTGGCAATTAAACATGAGTCATGAATGCATCCCTTTAATTCTTTGGAGATGTGAGTAGACTGAAGACAGAGGAGTCGGACAAGATCAGTTGGAACTTAATTGTGGATAAGCATTGTCAAACTGAGCCTGGTCTTTTCAAAAGCCCAGCTACTGTTCACATACTCTTCTGATGTATGGGTTCCTGTTGCACGCAGGAGCCAAAAGTAGACCCAGATACCTGCCCTGCTGTGTTGGAGGTTGTAACTACCTTTCCCTAAAACAAGCCATCTCCAGAAAATGTTCTGGTGAAGGGGATGGTGGGAGGCTGCTGGGCATCGGGGGTGTCCCAGCCTGCTTTGGGGCTCAGGGATAGTGCTGTGTCCCATCCCTCACGCAGAGAGAGATGTCTGTGCCGTCCTGGAGCACTGGGATGTTGCTGTGTCACACACAGAGATCAAGACTAACAAGTGTCAGTGAGAGAACTCTCCTACATGCATAATACATCTGTTTTTCCATCTTCTCTGCAGCTGTGTATGCCATGAGCTACAGCAGCTTTTTGTGGTTTTGGGGGGTGGTTGGTGTCCAGGAGGGCAGTGGGGACACCTCAGTGGATTTCTGGGACAAATGTTTGTGCTGCCACACTTAGGGGATGGACTGCGCTGGCCTGGTGTTGTATTAGGTGCTAGTGCTCTGAAGTTCCTGCCTGTAGATGCCCTAAGCTGCTGATTGTGGAAATCTAGAAGGATTTACTGTTGCATTCTTCCTTACCTAGATGTACCCTTTCCTCATGCCAAGGACCTTGCTTTTTCTTACTGGTCTGCCATCTTCTGGGCCCAACAAGTTCAGTGCATTTACATGAAACAGTAGTGCCCTGGCAGGAGCCGATTACACTGCTGCTGAGGGTTCCAAGAAGATGCAAACAGTCAAAATATTGGTTATTGAACAAGGCACTAGCCTTAGTAAGGCTGCTTTGGGTTGAGAAGTTCTGTACCAGAGGTTTTTATCCAGTGTGAGGTACCCATACATCTAAGACTGATGAGGCCTAATCAATCCTGTATGTCTTGTATGAGTCTGTAAATAGTTAACATTGACTTTTAAACTCTTAGTCCCTGGACTTTTTTTCCTACTTTTTTTACTTTTACGTTTCAGGTTGTATTCCCAAGTTAACTTCCATACAGG